GCACACGGGGCGAGGAAGAAGAAAATAAATGTGTATGGGGCAAGGGAAAAGGAGGGAAAGGTGTGCGGGCAGGAAGAGCAGAGGAAAGAAAGGTGCAATGAAAGAGGAGGAAAAGACAGCTGGGTTGCTATGCAGAGAGTTGAGGGTCCTAGCAGGAAGCACCTTCCTGGCGATATCATCCTCCGTGGAGCAGCTGCTGGGATGCAGCCGCTCCTGTAGGCGGGCCCAGGCGCGGAGGAGAGCCATCCCCAGGCCAGCGAAGAAGAATGGAGAAGCCTCCGTGCTGCAAACGCTCCCTGAGTTGCAACAGCGTTTGCAGGCGCCTCCCAGGAGATAGCTGTGGCAGGAAGGAAAATGCAGGTTCCCAATTTCCAAGGTCTGTTTTCCCCAGACCCCCCAGTATTCTCTTGTTATTCATGGGTGTTCTCTGTGCCAAGTTTAGTCCAATTCCATGGCTGTTAGGGTTTCAGAATGCTCTTTGATTGCAGAGAACTATAAATCCCAAGCAGCTCCCAATTTCCAAGGTCTGTTTTCCCCAGACCCCCCAGTATTCTCTTTTTGTTCATGGGAGTTCTCTGTGTCAAGTTTAGTCCAATTTCATGGCTGTTGAGGTTTCAGAATGCTCTTTGATTGCAGAGAACTATAAATCCTAGGCAGCTCCCAATTTCCAAGGTCTGTTTTCCCCAGACCCCCCCAGTATTCTCTTTTTTTTTTCATGGAAGTTCTCTGTGCCAAGTTTAGTGCATAAATCCCAAGTTTAGTCTATAAATCCCGAGCAGCTCCCAATGTCCAAGGTCTGTTTCCCCAATGTTCAAATTTGGGCATATTGAGTGTTCATGCCCAGTTTGGTCCAGATCAATAGTTGTTTGGGTTCAAATTGCTCACTGGATGTGTGAACTACATCTCCCATTAATTCTTCCCAAACCCCTCCAATATTTTCTGTTGATCATGAGGATTCTGTGTGCCAATTTGGTCCAGGTCTGTAATACATGAAGATCTCATTGGTCTGTAGAAGTAATTGCTGAATCGGTTCAAGGTACTGCAAATCCGATCATCTCTTGTCCATCGTC